TTCTTATGAAATGGATACCCGAATTCTTCTTCTAGCTTCTGTAATTGTTTTCTGTTTTCACCAATATTGAAATTGTTTATCACAAGTTTTCCTGGTGTCTTCAACCAAACAAGAACCAATGGCATAAATTCGTCTTCATCCTTGGAAATATCTTGAATACATTTCTGAAAAAACTCAAGAGGGGAGGAAAAGAATTCAATACCTTTGTCGAACAAAATGTCTGAAGATGCAAACATGGACGCGCATTCTGGAAACCCAACAGTGAGAACTTTGTTTGATGTCTTGGTTACCCTTTCCCAATGTGTTTCAATGGATTCATACATGGATGAATTCGTTTGAATTTCCCTTTTGTTTTTCATAAGATGTGCTTGCAGAATTTTATACTTCTCCTCTTGGGTTAATCTGGAAGAAAATAGAATGGTGACATTTTTCCCATTGAACATATCAGCTCGATCGTGCAGTTTTACTTTTGCTTCTTGCATAATATAATGGCGAGTAGTTATCACAAATGACAACTCTCTTTGATTGGCTGCATTACGTATATCAATAAGGAAAACTTCCCACTTTTTTAACAGATTTTCGTCTAGAACAGCATTTCCAAATATATCGTCAATCAACACAGCAGTGTACACATCAAAGTCTACTAATCTCCAATCATCCGGTCTAGTTAACCGTAAGAGTTTCTTTTCATGAACCATTTCCATTAACAGACAATTCGCCATTAAAGTTTTTCCATCACCTGGGTGACCACTAAGTATAGCTATTCCTGATGTTTTAAGTTGTTTGCTGGCTTCTGTGTAAATATTGGTTCTAACATAATATTTCTTTTTGCCTTTCGCATCATCAAAATACATCTGTGATGAATCTAAAATGTATCAGTTCAATGATAAGAAACAAATTTAGGTACAATAAATTAATTATATCTATAGACAAAGGCAATTTCGTGTTGTGAGCATAGTCTTTATACCCATAAAAGTATCATGTATTTGGTTCAGTTCGTTCTTCATGCATTATTTCACTTAGGGATCGTACACCGCTTTACATTGGAATAGACCATTTCATGTTCAATGTTCGATGCCGTTTGAACTGTGGATTCATTTCACCATTAAAATGTTAAAATGGCTAGTTCTGCTTAAGCTGGTATAAGGAGGAGCGAACATTAGCTTGTACTTACCCCTACCGTCCCTTAACAGAGATTGCATCATTCACAATTTTGCCGTTTTTGGACGATCTTTAGGACATGTAGAATTACATTTTTCTTAGACAAGAAGTATTATTAGGAAGGACAATAGATCATTCAATTTGTTGTAGCTGTCATAATTAAATATCTAAGAAACTACTCTTTCAAAACAAGAATGATATCGTTATCACACAATTAACACGACCACTCTTCACATATATGCTCGATTAAAAAAATTTAAACTTAACATTTTATAGAAAATATTTCAAGAAAGCCATACCATAAAGATTTTTCTGTTCAGCTGTCATCCTCAAACTGAAGTGTTCTGAAACTTAAAAGTAGATTTCTATTAATCAATATCACGTATTTCATCATGCAGATGCTTTATTCTGCATCTACACCGACCAAGACAAATGTAAAGAAAACGACTGGATGATCCTTTGTATAGTATATACCTCAAAATTGACTCAAGATGCTTTGTAATACATTATTTTATGACGGGAAGTTCCTGCAAATATAAATGCTACATTTATCGTAAGCAAGTTTTACTGTCATTTTACTATTAATGTTAATATTTTGATAGAAAAAAAAATCAACATGCCAGAGCGTCTTGGGGTAGGGAGGTGGCTTTACCCCATGCCAGAATGAACCGCGCCTTATAACTATATTAACGCGTTATCAGCATGAGCATGGAATTTTATGGCATTATCTGTTTTTATGAATTCATATTACACTCCTGAAGTGGAGTTACACCAATGTTAATCACTTGATAGTATAACTTACTGTTTTTGGGAATACTTTTAACATGCTTTATAACTTCATCATGTTTATCCGACATTTCTACCCGTTGTTGCCTGTTCTCTAAGGATAGGGTCTCAATGTTTGTATTAAGATCTTTTATTTCGCTGGACATAACCTCTATATCTCTAGTTTGTGCACTGTCCATCTGATGCCATTGATCTATCTCTTGCTGGTAGCGTTTATCGGCTTCCTCATCCAGTGGGGCTGTTTTCATATTGCCTAGTTCTAATTGAAGATTTGGTACACCGTTTTGAAGATGATAATTTAGCCTTATCAGAACCTGTAATTAGAATCATTATCAAGTTATCATACTCGTTAGATACTGTTGCAACTATTTCAATTTTGCCGTTTTGGGCTTCCTTTAGGGATTCTTATTTTCTCTATTCTATATGATCATGTCGGTAGCACAGCAATGTCGATGTCTATTGTAAAGCGATATTATTTCACAGTTAAATGAGTTAATATAATATATTACGAAAGCTGAATTTAATTGAAAGTAAGTATTATATTTTGTAACAAATTTATGACGAGATTCTTTTCTTTGTAAATTACTGGACGATAAGTCGAAATAATGACATTGAAAATATTTTCTCATCGAAAGGTTTTGTGTCTCGTAATAATGATATATGCATGTGCTTTTTTCTGTTTTACTTGTTTTGTTTGATTTTTTTTTATATAATCCATGTCACTCTGAAGTTGTTCATTTAAAGCCAGTTTTCGTTGAATACTTAAACAATGCAAACCTCACACCTTTCTGTCCAGCTCTGAGATTTTCATCAATTTAATTTATATTTTAATGTTCTGCTAAAATATTGATATTCCCAATAAAATGTCCCATCATCTAACTTGTATTTATTAAAAGTTTTTGCAATATAACATTGCAATTATTTACAATGATAACGATCATACCTGCACTATGTCTGTCCATTTCATGTTGAAGTCGTTTTCTGATAATGCAGATGTTGAAGATGTATGAGCAAACTGGAAAAAATCCCTTTTTATTTAAATTTGATGCAATACATTTGTCGTATTAAATATTAATTATATTTATTTTCCCTAAGCTAGTAAGTGATTTGAAATTGTTCATTCACCTTATAGTTACATTGTATTCGTCAGTTTAGGTACACAAGTGAATTATAAATTTTATACTAAAATCTTGTATCAAATGAAATTGTGGGGTTTTACCTCATTACGATATGCCCTGAAACGCACCAGGTCTGCTTCTATGGAGAAATCAGTCGGTGCCGGCGGTGTCGACCAGCATGGATCGGTGCTACCTTTTAACCTACAAATATTCCGTAGTAAACAAGATAGTAAGGAAATATCAAAACTTGCTGATGTCGGGGCATTGGATGAGATCAACAAATATTGTTGTTTGTTGATGATGTTTCTCTTTGAAAGAAACGCTAATGTTCCCTGGTGTTGCTTCAGACATGCTGCCAGAGGAGATGCTTTCTCGTCAAAGATTTTTCTGAGAACCATTGTCCCGCCGTCGACCAGTAAGACTTGAATCCGCAAGTAATACATCTTTTTTCCTGTGTTCATTTTTATTGAAGATCTGTCATTCGAATGAAACCCATCTCGCATTTAATGAATATTTTGATGGCATCCACCCTGAATAATGAAATATGTAATTCGAGTTCAGTTTTCCTTGTGATCTCAAAATGAAATACTCATCATTGAAGAAAAACAACAATTATATAAATGATTATTTTTAAGCATGGACAAATGCACTAACTATGCATGTCCTTTTAAAAGGCTATACGTGTATCATTTCCGTTTTTTTCTAAATAATTAAACAATTTAAAAAAAATTTGAACTCAGATATCAACGTATATGTAATGTTTGTTTTATGATATTCAGATAAATGCACACGACTTTATAAAAAAATAAACGCATCTGCAAACTTATCTCGTTGTAAAAATGTATACACCAATATTAGTGTATGCTAGAAAAATGTTATTTCCCTATACTCCATGATACAATAAAAATGCCACATAAAAATGCCAAGTTGTACAAATAATAAATTAAACAATTTTGACAAAAACTTTATCTGATAAGAGACCACGCGAAACATGTTTATCGTATACTAGTCATTTTTAGATATATATATATTTTATCTTTACCATTGATTTATAATGGGTAGACCCGATAAGCTATGTTATATAGTACTCGTATAGCTATCTCTTGAGATATTGTTAAATCAGGCATATACTTTTTACTTATATGTATGTTATGTTTACACTGGAAAAAGACACGCAGTTTGCAAAATTAAAATGATAAATATCATTTATTCTTAACTTTTCTCTGTAACCAGTGTCACGAATACTGAAATGTTTTTCTTGTTTCATATATGACCAATAAAGTTATGGTTTAAGCGGTAGCAAAATTAAGAGTTATGCATAGGATAAAGCAGACTATTTCAAAATACAAAATGGCGACTGCACCGCCAGTATTATGTAAACAATCCCTGACCGTTTCGGTTACATACATGGAGTATACACGATGGAACACAGAAATGACGGAAAGTAGCATTTTATTAAAAAATTGTCCAGTTTTCTAACAAAAACGAAAAACAATCAGAAAAAAAACAGACAGGAATCATGAGTGTATTCAGTGTAATAGGACATACATTGCACCCAGACTAATCATTTATAAACGCTTAACTAACAAATCTTATAGCCAAATCTAGTTTCTTTTAAAAAAAAAGATTATTTTTGATTTAACATCGAAAATACAATTTACGACTATATTTCATTTCATAAACATAAAAACCTTTTAGATTGTTTCATTAATCCATTTTATGTCCTTTTAGTTTGTTATTCTATCAGTTCAACATTCAATATTATCAGTAGATTGCGGGGAAACCCCCTATTATCTGCCGAACGTTTTTGATTGGATTGCATTTTTACACCGCAGGTTAAATACACTGATAGTAGTCTTATTTCTTTTTTATAATAAAAATATAATCACAATATCAAGTCAGTTTAGAGATCTAGCATCCTGCACTATATTTCTAAATATACTGTTAAATTATATTTTCATTATATTCCTTTCAAATTTCATTTATTTTTTTTTATTAAATACCTATGTCATTTTGTGAATTTAAGATACATTGACCTAGTTTTAAAGTTGTTTTGGCTTTATTTGATAGCATACATTCGTGTATTATTATATAAGTTCAAGGTCATACTGAAATAGTATTTTGGCAAACAGTGTTACTCACCTCAATTCAACTCAATTATTTCATAATCAAAGGCCTCCGGCCCAAAATATATATCAAACAATTAGGCAGCATTTGTATCAGGTTATGTCAATATAATATCAGTTTTTATGACATTTACTAAAGACATTGTTCTTTTTTTTTCTTTTTTCTTTCCAAACTGAAATCTGATCCACAAAGTCGCAGCACCGTGAACTAGTGCTATTATTACATTTACTTGTATTCTAATTATAGTGTTAATGCAATTAAGCTTAGTTCTATAAAAAGAAAACTAATTTAAGATACCAGTTATATTTTTCGATTTATCCAATTAATGATGTTTTTAAATTGAAATTGGTCATTTAGTTTGAATATGTATATATTATAAGAAAACTAAAGAAAGTTTACATGATTTTACTTATCTTTCTTTTAGAACTACTTTAATATTATCTTAATATATACTTGATATTCTGTGCATTTAATATATGTGTTATTATTAACGCCCGACGATATATATATATCGCTAAAACAATATAATCTCGCGAGGTCCGGAGTGTTCGGTGTGCGCAGTTTAGTCATATCGGAGAATGTCACAAAAAGCGCGATCAGTGTACAAGTCAATGAACATGTCAAGTGATTGTGCAGCACGGTCTTGTGTGATTGGGGACTATTAAAATTACATCAGGGCTCACTTAGACCTCTCTTTTCATTATACAGATACATATATGTTTTATACTGTAACAAATGATAAGAAACGCATTTTCTTTAATTTCATTTATAACTATTTCGCAAGTTTTTGCAAGAAATTGCATAGTTTTATCTTTTTTTTTCAAAAATATTTTGATTTTATTACAATGTATATAAATACTGATACTTATAGTATGGAAAGAATGGGTCCCTTAATTCTGTAATTGGTCCAATTATAATAAAAGATAAAAGGTAAACCTTACCACGAAATTGTATTCATTGCTTTTAAAGATGCAATGCTGAAGCAGATTGTCTTAACAAAAAAGTGGAATAATTACAAATCTGGGAATCACGTGACTTTGGAGTTGCCGCGGAATGAGGTCTATTTACGTAATTTGCAGCCGCGAATGTACAGGGGGAGAATAATTAGTTTGCGAAAATGTTTTATTGCTACATGTAACACCTGGTATAGAAATGAAAGAACAAACATCTCACGTGATACGTTGACTCAAAACGGATATATATCTCAAATTAAATTTATAAACATTAAACCATAAAGTTTACATGGAACTTTTAACAGCAGCATTATGTCGTACTTGAGGTACGACGACGTAAACGTTTGGTCACCCTGTCGATACCTACACGTCAAGGTCTACACGTGATGACACACGGAAATCTCCCGAACATTTTGCTTGGGTTTGGGCATTGGCTATCATTTTGTGACCAATTATATTTTAAGGTTGGCTTTTAAATAGATTTTTAAAAGATATTTTATATAACTCAAAATCTTTTAATAATTTAACATTTTAACATTAAAAATAATTATAATTCTGGAAAAACGGAGTGAACGAATGATATGTTATTGTAGTAGACTTACATCAAATGAAAATAATAATCTGAAAATATTATTTCAAGTTCCGTCATGTAAAAAAAAGATAAAAATTAATATTGGAGTTCCTTTAAATTTAAATTCATGTGCCTGATCTTGAACTTGAAAATAAGTCGTTTTTACATGTATATAAATTTTTATGTGCTTGATAAAGAAATAATTGTTTTAATTGTTGAGTTGAGAATGAATTGAGAAACCCTCGTACTTTAAGACTTAATATGACTTTTTTCTAAAGTAACCCATCGTTTTGTACAGAAGAAACGGCTGTCATTTAAAAATCTAGAAACAGATAAACGTGATATTGAGACTGATCTAGTAAGTTATAATTATACTACTGACAAAATAATTTGTACCTTTCTATGTACATATTGCCAACAAGCAATAGATGAAAAAGATTGTTACAGTAATTGGCCAATGAGTAAACTTTTGTCTTTGAAAGCAGTCTTGAAATATTTTATATCATAACTCTGTGTTTTGCTCTGATACGTCAAAATATTTTTTCAAGTAGGGTTTCAACATAATTTGGTTGTTAAAATATCCAAGTGTGAGCTTTAAGAGAAGAAAATATCATTAATTTACCTTGGTACTTCGCAAGCCAATCTTTTGAAGGTTTAGATTATCAATGATGTTTTTTTTTATTTGTATTCAATCGGGTACTTGTAAAGAACGGAAAAATTATATAATATCCTTGAAATAATTTAAGTTAATTTGTTTATTTCAGATTCAATTTTACATACATATTCATAACTTTATAAATACAAAGACCATAAACATACCTGGTAATATTTCAGTTTTTTTTCTTTTTACAGTTTTTTCCTTAGACTACATAACATAAAAACACTAATTCAAAAACAAAAAATTGCTATTCAAAACCATTACCGATTGCATTTTTTTTTTAGAAGAATAAATTTTACTCAAGTAGTATTTTAAATAAAGAAAACTATAATTATCTAATTTCTTAATTTAGAAAAAAAAAGGTGAAAAAAAGGTTATTTCATTTTTGCAAAAAATCTCACGGGCATTTTAAACATTTTTGGAAGGAAAGCATTAAATAAGGAATAAAATTAAGGGGGTTGTTGACGTTTTTTAAAAAACAAAAATTATCAATAATAAAATTTTTTTATGCCCAAACCATGTTACAATTGTATGTTTTAATTTAGAATACCCAACTAGTAATGATATACCCATTTTGGGCCATGCTCAATAACACCTGCAGCATCCTAATGAATAGAGTTACATACACATGTTTTTGTTATATCACTCTTTTGTGAGTCTACTTGATTATTACAACTCCAAACAACAAAACATATATAGAGAAGCATCAATATAAAAATATTTACGTTTAGTGCCGATTGAACCGAAGGTGCAAGACGAATTGATTTGACATAACATATGTTTGATCTTGTTATGAATGCAAAATTAAAAATAATATCCATGTATTTTTGTTTCATTGTTTTGTACAAGGAATGTAGCATCCAAATTGGTACGTACATTATTGGTACATCTAGTCTTGTGTTCTGAATTACTCCTATTACGTATGTATCAGAACAAATATGATTGGAAAAATTATAAAAAATATTTTTTTATTTTCTACCTAAAAGAATTTACATTATTACTTACAAATGTAATATTGTTATAATATTAATTGCTAAACTAAATAATAACAAATGTTATAAAATGTAAATCTTATGTTTTGATATTGATGCAAAAAAAAAAACCTGACACAAAAAGCAAAAATAGACACGTCCCTGAAGTAGACGTTTACAGCTGACATAAAACATGAATCAATTATAAGAAATATAAATGTGAGACTATTTTGTAAATAGTGAATGAGAATAATGTATCATGTAAATATAGTTAGTTGACACGAGAATACAGAAGTATTACAAACACGGGGCCCTATATTTAAAATTTTGCCGGGAAAGTATGAATAATTTCAAAATGTAAATTTTATTTAATTTTGGAAGGTTTTTTTGTTTTGATTTTTTTAAAAATTTTTTTGAAGGTAAGGGTTTACATCTGTTTTCCCGAGGTGTATGTTCCAATTAAAGCAGCCAATAAACCTATAACCAATATCCAAGACCCTACAAATAAAAAACGAACTCATATTTATTTAAAATCATAAAAGAACGTTTTCGTCCTTCCCTTTACAAGCACATTTTCAAAATAATCCCGGATACTGTTATGCGAACAAACGATATGATAACGTTATCTAGGAAATATACTTACAATATCATGTATAAAATGACAGATGATTTTAGGAGCTTATTAACAGGTAACAATCTTTTTTTATTTTTACTGAAGTAACATAAATCATAAATTTAGGACTTGTGTCATTTCATGCAAATAATGGCCGTAAGTTCTTAAAGTACAGATAATTACACATTATACACTTGCAGTCTGCCGGATCCCATAAGAAATTTAGGGTTACCTGCACATGAAGTTAAGTTTTTTTTGTTTTTGTTTGTTTTGGGTTTTACGTCACATCCACACAGTATAGGTCATATCGCGACGTTCCAGCTTTACTGGTGGAGGAAGACCTCAAGTTTAGTACAGAACTGACAAATTTATCAGATTGTAAAAGAAAGATTATCTTAAAAGTAAAGAATTCTGCCAAACCAGCTTATCTGAAGGAAAATGAAACCCTTTATGCATAGGGATTATAAATAAATATCAAATATTGATAAAATATGGTGGTAAAAGTTTCAGAACACCTGCTTGAATATTATGTACATTGAAAAAAGAATAATAACCCAAGTCAGTACGTAGGTTTAGATTATTTAGTAATTCATACATATCCGAACTCATGGTAATGTAGTGATTACAATTGTTTCATTATGGAATGGCCATGCATGAGCCTCACAGGTATCAAAAACTCATAATTAGACAATCTAACTGTATTATATAGAAATATCAGGAAACCTTCTTTAAAATTCTTAAATCAAATTTAAAGATTGTTCACCAAGCGCGAGTTGGTGGTGTCAAACCAGTAAAGCATACTTAAAATACAGCATTGCGTGATATAATTCTACTGTTTGTTGATTTCAGTTTTATCTATTTTGAGTTTGAAATGTTTGTTGATAGAATATTTACATTACAGTTGACACTCAAGCTGGGATGTTTGACTTCATTTTTTTTTCAATATTAAATTTTCAAATATGAATTTATCTAGAACGTTATTTTGTTCACTGTTGTGAAAAACAAATAGAGGACTTTTATTTTGAAAGAAAGAACTGGCTGTCGGTGTGACAAATGGCAAACTTTTTAAGGATCCAGGAGGTTACTTTTAGAGTGAAACAAGAGAACAAATTTGAAAAATCCGTCCCGAATTCGGAGCAAACTGGTCCCATATCTTACATTTTTACTATTAACAGAGGAACAAATAAAATCCGGAGCAGACACATTGTTCGCATCGGAGGGATTCCAGATTAGAATTGTCCGAATTAGCAAGGCTACACTTACAAATGTAATATTGTAATGACAACTGCTTAACTAAAAATAACAAATTTTTCAAATGTAAAACTAATGTTGTGAGATGCAAGAAAAAGTGATACAAAAACCAAAAGTAGGCATGTGTCTGAAGCAGAAATTTACATGTAAATAAATTATAAGAAATACAAATGTGAGAATGTTTTCCAATAGCGTGAATGAGAACTAATATATAAATACATCTTTGAAATATATCTAGTCGACATCTATCTGGGAATACAGAAAACTACAAACGCGCCATATATTTAATATATACCTCAGATGTTAGAAATATATTTCAAAATATATTTCATAAATTTTTGAGAAAGTTAGTTATTTATACGATTTTTGAAAACAAAAAGGTAAATATTTACATATTCTCCAGGAGATGAGGTGTATTCCTACTAAAGCTCCCGCAAACGCTATAATCAAAATCCAAGACCCTACAAATAAAAAAAAATCAATTTAGTTTTTAATCTTTGCCTTTACAAACACAATTTTCAAACTAGTCCGGGTACACTTTTCTGAATATTGTTATGCAAAACAGCATATACGATAAAGTTTTATAGGGAATATACATATATAAATGACAATTGTTTTAAGAGCTTATTAAGAGGTTACCTTCCTTTTTTGTTTTCTCTGAAGTAAAACAAATTTAATAGATGTTAAAGCGACGTCATGTTAATAACAACCGAATTGTCTTACAGAACAGAAATTAACACAATATACATTTGCAGTCTGTATGATCTCATAACAATTAAGGGTAAATATGTACAGGTAGTAAAGAAAAAAACAACAACAAAAAACTGACAAAATGTCGACAAGAAAGAATATTTTAGAGAAAAGATTACTGCCAAACGAGCTTAACTGTAAGAAAATGTAACCCTTTATGTATAGGGTCTAAAAATGAAATTTAAAATTGTTAAAAATAGTGGTTAAAAGTTCAGACATTCTTGCTGGAATATTGCGAAAATTTTGTTTGTTTGGGTAACGAACGGCATGATTCTCCCCCGTGGTATAAGCTACATTGAGTTCTAAGCTGAACATGGTTAGGGTGCTGTTTGGAAAAGAAGTATATACAGTTGTTTTATTGTTGACAATTTTTTCCGCTTATATAAAAGATTTTATTTGTCGGGCGTTTTTTGGATACGAATTCATTTTGTACTTTGTCTTGGTCTTGCAAGGATAACCATTCTGTCGGTGGCATTTTTGCATTTTAGTTTAAACTGAACCTGGGATGTGAATATGAATGTATCTAGAACGTTATTTTGTTCACTTATGCGAAAAACAAACATGACTAAACGAAGATAGTCGGCTAGATATACATGACAGTTTTACCTTACACATCTATTACAACTCTTTTCAAAATGTCAACACTGATGACGGATTATGGTTTCATTTAATTGCGCCTAAACGAAAAAAACCAACACAATATTTGTTTTGCTAAAAGTTTTTTTTTTCAAAACGGAGGGGCAGTTTGAAGAAGATAATACGTGTAAAGGCATTTAGTACTCAGGGTCCTGCCATTCAGGTTGGTGTTTCTAAAGTCAAATCTAAAATGCAAAACTTTACAACACAGTTTTAAGTTCTTCAAAAACAAAAACTTTTAAAAGCGAAAAGCCGTCAAAGGTCTGGCCAATGTCAGATTGCTGCAAGACTTTCTTGAAAAGAAAAAACCGTCATGCTTTGCGTTTCTCGTCTTTAACCTGGCCCTGGTCCCTGTTGTTTTTCTTATGTTTCAAAGCTAAAATCCCCTTCCAGGTCGATCGAAAATTTGATCAGCGCTAACAAACGTTTTCATAATACACCTTTTAGATTATAGAATGCCTAGAAAGACTGGATACAGAGACAGAAACCGATATATGTTAGAGGTGAATACTATTTGGGAACTAATTAAAAAATCAGTGAACACATTTTACAAGCTACGATTGATTTGTATTTGAACACCATTCGCAATTCTCGGCACCAGTTCTTTTATGATTATACTTCAACAGCAAAAAAAGTGTTTTAATTCAATTACCCGCGCATAAACTAGAACCATCTATAACTCCATCCATTTTAAAAAGGGATTATCCACAGATTCCCAATTAAAAATGCCATTTTCAGCTATTTTAGTGGATATTTTAAGATGTATTTTAAGGGAAAAACAACAAAAAGTACATCTGAAAATATATTTAACACAAAATTTATTTCATTTTGTTATAAAAATACAGCATATTATCACAAATAAATCATGATTTGTTCCGCCAGCAGAACATTTAGCAGTTCTTTCTGCGAGATAGCAAGAATCCAAAAATGCTAAAATGTTCTGCCGGCGGAACATTAAATAAAACATATATTAAGTTATTTTACAAAATAGTTCAGTCTTAAATTGTTCCGCCAGCGGAACATAAGTATGAAAACATGTATCAAAACATACTAGGTTATAACCATAAGTGATTCTGTTCTGCCGGCGGAACATTTATTAATTACAACATATCACAATTCTGAACAACCTTTGCAAGATTTTGTAACAAATGCATTTCTTAAAGTAAAAATCAAATAAAAGAACTCATTGGAATTGTTCCGCCAGCAGAACAGATATATGATTCCAGTCCATATGAATGCAAAAATAAGATAGAATCATAAAAATTCCTGTTCCGCCGCCGGAACATTTACTTATAACAACATATCAAAATTCTTAACAACCTTTAAAGGTTTAATCAAAAATATAACTCAGAAAGAATATCATTTAATAAAATTGATTTGAAATTGTTCTGCCGGCGGAACAAAAGTATGATAACATCAATTTAAACATCTATAGGATATAACCGTAGGTGATTCTGTTCTGCCGGCGGAACATTTATTTACTACAAGATACAATTTTTAACACCTTTGCAAAATTTTGTCAAAAATATATTTCTTAAATTAAAATCAAATAATGTAATCATTTGAAATTGTTCCGCCAGCAGAACAGAAATATGATTCACTCTAACGCAAAGGAAAAATAAATTCATAAATAATCCTGTTCCGCCGGCAGAACATTTACTTATTACAATATATTAAAATTCTTAACAACCTTTTTAGGTTAAATCAAAAATATAATTCAGAAAGAATATCATTTAATAAAAATTGATTTGAAAATGTTCTGCTGGCGGAACATAAGTTTGATAACATCAATTTAAACATAGGATATAACCATAAGTGATTCTGTTCTGCCGGCGGAACATTTATTTATAACAAGAAAAATCTTAATAACCTTTTTAGGTTTAATCAAAAATATAATTCAGAAAGAATATCATTTAATAAAATTGATTTGAAATTGTTCTGCCGGCGGAACATAAGTTTGATAACATCAATTTAAACATAGGATATAACCATAAGTGATTCTGTTCTGCCGGCGGAACATTTATTTATAACAAGAAAATTCTTAACAACCTTTTTAGGTTTAATTAAAAATATAATTCAGAAAGAATATCATTTAATAAAATTGATTTGAAATTGTTCTGCCGGCGGAACATAAGTTTGATAACATCAATTTAAACATAGGATATAATCATAAGTGATTCTGTTCTGCCGGCGGAACATTTATTTATAACAAGAAAAATCTTAATAACCTTTTTAGGTTTAATCAAAAATATAAATCAGAAAGAATATCATTTAATAAAATTGATTTGAAATTGTTCTGCCGGCGGAACATAAGTTTGATAACATCAATTTAAACATAGGAAATAACCATAAGTGATTCTGTTCTGCCGGCGGAACATTTATTTATAACAAGAAAACTCTTAACAACCTTTTTAGGTTTAATTAAACATTTAATTCAGAAAGAATATCATTTAATAAAATTGATCTGAAATTGTTCTGCCGGCGGAACATAAGTTTGATAACATCAATTTAAACAAAGGATATAATCATAAGTGATTCTGTTCTGCCGGCGGAACATTTATTTATAACAAGAAAAATCTTAATAACCTTTTTAGGTTTAATCAAAAATATAAATCAGAAAGAATATCATTTAATAAAATTGATTTGAAATTGTTCTGCCGGCGGAACATAAGTTTGATAACATCAATTTAAACATAGGAAATAACCATAAGTGATTCTGTTCTGCCGGCGGAACATTTATTTATAACAAGAAAACTCTTAACAACCTTTTTAGGTTTAATTAAACATTTAATTCAGAAAGAATATCATTTAATAAAATTGATTTGAAATTGTTCTGCTGGCGGAACATAAATATGATAACATCACTTTAAACATAGGATATAATCATAAGTGATTCTGTTCTGCCGGCGGAACATTTATTTACTACAAAAAAATTCTTAACCTTTTTAGGATTAATCAAAAATATAATCCAGAACGAATATCATTTAATAAAATTGATTTGAAATTGTTCTGCCGGCGGAACATAAGTATGATAACATCAGTTTAAACATAGGATATAACCATAAGTGATTCTGTTCTGCCGGCGGAACATTTATTTACTACAAAAAAATTCTTAACCTTTTTAGGATTAATCAAAAATATAATCCAGAACGAATATCATTTAATAAAATTGATTTGAAATTGTTCTGCCGGCGGAACATAAGTATGATAACATCAGTTTAAACATAGGATATAACCATAAGTGATTCTGTTCTGCTGGCGGAACATTTTTTTACTACAAGATACAATTTGTAACACCCTAGGAAGATCTTGTCAAAAAAATATTTCTTAAACTAAAATCAAATAATGTAACTCATTTGAAATTGTTCCGCCAGCAGAACAGAAATATGATTTCATCTAATGCAAAGAAAAAATAAATTCATAAATAATCCTGTTCCCCGAAAGAAATTTTACTTATTACATGAAATTAAAATCCTTAACAACTTTTTATGGTTTAATAAAAATAAAACTGAAAGTAACATCATAAAATAATAATACAATTGATTTGAAATTGTTCCACCAGCATTAAAGAAATATGATGTTGTGTCTTAATATGAAGAAAATCCATTTAGCCAGTTAAAAAAAATCAAGAGACACTAATCTGACCTTGACAGTCAAGGTCATTTAAAGCTTAAGGTCACGGTCATTTCAACTTTTTAGAAGGTCCACCCCTAAATGTTGTTTTGTCAAAGTATGAAGATAACACATTTAATAATTACGAAGTTACAGTCAATTATAGCAAAAATAAGTGAAAATTCAATAATTTAACCTTAAAGGACAATGTCTTAAAAGTGTCAATGTCAATTTTTATATATAATTCTATATTAGAGCAGACACATTGATAATGTTGGCCGGGTTTGAAACCACTACTCGGTACTTAGACCGTGACCCGGTACTGAAAACTGTTTCAAAACTTACTGGTTCATACCGTTTTACAACTGTATCAATATTTTCAAAATTAAAAGCAAATTTAAATATACCTCAGTACAAGATAAACAAATTAAATCAATTAAATTTATATCAATGAAATATAAAAGCCATTTTTTAGCCTTTGTTTATATCATAAACAGATGTCAGTCAACAGGGCAAGGAAAATAATACTACCGATTGCCTCTGCTTGATTATAACAATTTGCCAGTGGTATTTTTGTATTACACAAAAGCATTCTGACCACATGCTGCATTAAAGTTTCAATTGCCTCCAGATGACCAAGTCTATTTCATGAAAATCAAACTTGAGAAAAATGTTTAAGAAAAGTAAAAATAATTATCAATGCAAGTGGTAACGTGCATATTACATGCAATATATGACAAATTGTTGTAGTATTTCTTCCCATATTTCTACTCATTGACTAACCCAGTAAATTAAAAGTTATTTCTGCATATTGTCACCTGGTTTTGGTAGTTTACAGATTGTTTCGTTCAATGAAATGTGAAAATACTTTCTATGTTCACACAATATATAACTTTTAATTTTCTAAATTTCTATTAAAATTTAACATGAATCTGGAGGTGTGCAGCTTTAACTGAAATATTTAACATAAATTGATTGGTCAGTACTTGTACTGCTTTTTATAAAAAAAAATAATATTAATAGCCTTTTTCATTAAAGGTAATATTGTCTGCAAATGCAACTAGACCTATCACTGAAGGTGATTAATACCCCCACCAGCAACTTTGACTTTTGGAAAAAAAAGTTGTCTGAAGAAAAATTTGAACGCAAACTATCAAATGTGTACAAAGAAATATTTCAATTAATTGTAATCGCAACTGGGGTCTCGAAATAAGCTTGCTATACACCAAGTTTGATTACAATATCTCATTCCTAACTCTAGTTATTGTCCGGAAACCATTTTTCTATTTTTAGTAACACTGTAACGATGACCTTGACCCTAGGGGGTCCAAATGCAATACCAACCCAGGTCTTCATATAAGCTTCCTATACACCAAATTAGATTACAATATCTCATTTCTAACTCTAGTTATTGTCCGAAAACCATTTTTCTATTTTTCGTAACGGTGACCTTGACCCCAGGGGGCCCAAATGCAATACCAACCAAGGTCTTCATATATGCTTGCTATACGCCAAGTTTGATAACAATATCTCATTCCTAACTCTAGTTATTGTCCGGAAACCATTTTTCTATTTTTAGATACGGTGACCTTGACCTTGACCCCAGGGGGTCCAAATGCAATAGCAACCCAGGTCTTCATATTAGCTTGCTATACACCAAGTTTGATTACAGTATCTCATTCCTAAGTCAAGTTATTGTCTGGAAACCATTTTTCTATTTTTAGATACGGTGACCTTGACCTTGACCCCAGGGGGTCCAAATGCAATAGCAACCCAGGTCTTCATATTAGCTTGCTATACACCAAGTTTGATTACAGTATCTCATTCCTAAGTCAAGTTATTGTCTGGAAACCATTTTTCTATTTTTCGTAACGGTGACCTTGACCTTTACCCCAGGGGGCCCATATGCAATACCAACCCAGGTCTTCATATAAGCTTGCTATACGCCAAGTTTGATAACAATACCTCATTCCTAACTCTAGTTATTGTCCGGAAACCATTTTTCTATTTTTAGTAACGGTGACCTTGACCTTGACCCCAGGGGGTCCAAATGCAATACCAACCGGAGTTTCCACATAAGGTTGCTATATACCAAGTTTGATTACAATACCTCATTCCAAACTCTAGTTATCGTCCGGAAACCATGATGTGGACCGACCGACGGACGGACCGACCGACCGACCGACAAGCTGACTCCTATATACCCCCCCTAAACTTCGTTTGTGGGGGTATAATTAAACCATTTACATGTATACACTATGCAGTAAATTATTCAAATTTTACACCTTTTAAAATGCAATTTGAGTTGTTTTGTATGGTCAAAATTTCTATCTTTGTAAAATGAAAAACAAGCAATATAATAAAACTTCTTAAGCTGCATAAAACTTAATGCTGCAAACTTAAAATGTATCGAGTATCAATAAAATATTGTATTATTCTACGATTGCAACGCTCGACTATTCTTAGTGCTTGATAGTAAAAGAGCCTTGATAATGTAAAATTTTCTAAGTTAACAAAAGGGTAAATTTTTTCTTTAAATCCATGTTACAGTTATAAGCCTTTGAGAGGGAGTCATATTATACTCTCAAAGAAAAGTTTAAAATTTCAACTTGTTTAAAAGCAATATGAAAATATTTGACGTGGTATGCAAACTTAAATGTAAATTCTAAGTTGAAAAAGTGGCATTAATCTCTCAAAATGCTTCATACAGTTACCTCCTCCTGTCTACAGGTTGGGGTAATGACGTTAAACAAGTGTGCAAAGTTTTGAGGACTATGAAAATATTTGAGGTGTTACAAAAACTTTAACGTAAATTCTAAGTCGGAAAAGGGGCATAATTCTGTCAAAATATTTGTTACGGTTACCTCCTCCTGTCAACAGGTTGGGGTCATGATGGTGAACAAGTGTGCAAAGTTTCAGAGCCATAAGTCAATGGACTTTGAAAATATCTGAGGTGGTATTTCAAAAACTTGAATGTAAATTCTAAGTCGTAAAAGGGGCATAATTCTGTCAAAATGCTCAATACAGTTACCTCCTCCTGTCTACAGATTGGGGTCATGATGGTTAACAAGTGCCCTAAGTTTCAAAGCCATATGTCAATGGACTTTGAAAATATTTGTGGTATTACAAAAACTTTAACATAGGAGGTTACGCCGCCACTCGGGTGACTACAATAGCTATACTTATTCTTATTAAATAGTCGAGCTAAAAATGTTTGATTTTTATACATGTAGGTAAGATTAAAACATAGTTCAAACATGAACAGCATTAAATAATTAATTTCGTTGTATTTACACTAATGTCTAAATAAATTGTAACTAGAAAAGTATCCAAAGGACATGGGTGCCCCAACACAAACTAAAGACTCTAGGTCAAATATATTTAGGCTAACATTAATATCCATTTAATTCTTTTTTAACATTGAGTCTATGTTGACTGAGTACTAGTAACTCCTGATTATAACGATCCTGTGAGTAACTCCTGATTATAACTAGAACTATCACTAAATGTGATTAATACCCCCACAAGACTGCCTCGGAAATGAGCATGTTACTAGTAACAGAATACCTTGTAAAAGAATTGAAATATAGAGTTATGGTTGTGGGCAATTAAAGATAGTTATGGTTCTTGTATGTTTCCTTTCACTGTGGTTGGCCATTGATGAAGTTTTATTGAATTACTCTGTAATAAGTCAAGAAAGACAAAGAAAAGGAACAAAGGGCAATAACTCTATAAATACTGAAGATGGAGTTATAGTTCTTGTGTACTGCACTTCCTCTTTTTGTGCTTGACCATTGTATGAAGTTGTTTTGAATTTCAACCAGTACCTTTTAAGTTATGCTCCAGACAAGGAAAAGTATCAAAGGGCAGTAACTCTGTATTTTGTCAAAATGGAGTTATGGCTCTTATGCACTGCACTTCCTTTTAATGTCCTTGACAACTGTATGAAGTTGTATTGAATTCCAAACAGTAGTTTTCAAGTTATGCTTTGGACAAGGAAAAGTAACAAAGGGCAATAACTCAAGATGGAGTTATGGTTCTTGTGCACTGCACTTCCTCTCAATGTGCTTGACCATTGTTTGTAGTTATATTGAATTCCAACCATTAGTCTTCAAGTTATGATCCGGACAAAAAAAGCAATGGAAAAGAAACAAAGGACAATAACTCTGTAATTAGTCAAGATGAAGTTATGGCTCTTGTGCACTGCACATCCCCTTATTGTCCTTGACAACTGTATGAAGTTGTATTGAATTCCAACCAGTAGTTTCCAAGTCATGCTCTGGACAAGGTAAAGTAACAAAGGGCAGTAACTCTGTAATAAGTCAAGATGGAGTTATTGTTCTTGTGCACTGCACTTCCTCTCAATGTGCTTGACCAATGTATGAAGTTATAATGAATTCCAACAATTAGTCCTCAAGTTATAGTCCGGACAAAAGAAAGCAATGGAAAAGTAACAAAGGGCAATAACTCTGTAATTACTTTAGATAGAGTTATGGTTCTTATGCACTGCACTTCCCCTTATTGTGTTTGACAATTGTATGAAGTTGTTTTGAATTCCAACCAGTAATTTTCAAGTTATGTTCGGACAAGGAAAAGTAACAAAGGGCAATAACTCTGTAATTAGTCAAGATAGAGTTATGGTTCTTGTGCACTGCACTTCCTCTCAATGTGCTTGACCATTGTATGTAGTTATATTGAATTCCAACCATCAGTCTTCAAGTAATGGTCCGGACAAAAGAAAGTAATGGAAAAGTAACAAAGGGCAATAACTCTGAAATTACTTTAAATAGAGTTATGGTTCTTGTGCACTGCACTGCCCCTTATTGTGTTTGACAATTGTATGAAGTTGTTTTGAATTCCAACCAGTAGTTTTCAAGTTATACCCCGGACAAGGAAAAGGAACAAAGGGCAATAACTCTGTAATTAGTCAAGATAGAGTTATGATTCTTGTGCACTGCACTTCCTCTCCATGTGCTTGACCATTGTATGAAGTCATATTGAATTCCAACTATTAGTCTTCAAGTTATGCTCCGGACAAGGAAAATGCAACGGACGTCTGGACCGACCGACCGACCACCGGGTGACTCCTATATACCCACCCAAACTTCGTTTTTGGGGGTATAATGATCCTGTGAGTAACTCCTGATTATAATGATCCTGTAAGTAACTCCTGATTATAATGATCCTGTGAGTAACTCCTGATTATAATGATCCTGTGAGTAACTCCTGATTATAATGATCCTGTGAGTAACTCCTGATTATAATGATCCTGTGAGTAACTCCTGATTATAATGATCCTGTGAGTAACTCCTGATTATAATGATCCTGTGCTTTATCCCATGAAGAACATGAAGAAGGTACTCTTGTGTGCCATCATCGTACTTCACTGAGAAGTTTCCTGCAAAGTAAGTCAGTGAGTAAATATACGATATGTACATAATAATTGCTTCTTTGACAAAGTATATTATAAATATCAAATTCAATATTAACACTCTTAAGAGTAAGTGCAAATCGATGCCTTTGTGCTAAAGGTTTGTTACTCAGTACAGTCAAGACTGTTTAAAGTGATCGACTCTGGGAATCAAGAAAAATGGTCACATAAGACAGTCTCTTAAAACAGTCTTCCCCAACCTGCTGACATTGGTTAATAAATATACTCGCCTAGCGGCTCGGGTTATATTTTCAAACAACCATTTATATAGGGCCATATAACTTGTCAAAAAAATCTTTATAACTAATAATATAAATGCATAGGTAAGTACTGACTTATTCCAATGAAACAAGTACATGGTATATAGGTCACTTTTAAAGATAAGAGTGATAATTGATTATACTATTTCTGAAATTGCATTTTAAAAAGATAAAACTAGAAATGTGTCATCACCCCATGGATGCTCACGCATGCAGACAAAATTGTAATGTTGATAATAATATTAATATCTAGTTCCAAATTTGTTTACACAAACCATTAATTTTCATTCTAATAGTTCCAATTTTGTTTGCATACATGATTATTTTTCATTCTAAGTTAAAGGCCCTTAAACTACTCAATGTGAAGATGAAATTTAGTTCAAGGCCTTGAAATTACAAAATTTTCATGTCCAAAGCTTTTACAGTTTAGGAGAAATAACCTGAAAATCAATAAAGGGCAATAACTCAATAACTAAAAAAATAAGAAGTGCAGAGTACCAGTTTTTTTTTGCACTTTACTTCTTTACTATAAGATCTATCATCCTATGGCCAGGACAAAAATAAAGTATGAAAATTGACAAAGGGCAATTACTAAACAATAGGAAGTGATGAGTACCGGTTTTTGTGCACTGCACTTCTTCTTAATGAGAGCTATCATCCTCAGAAGTTTCAAGTCCATACCTTTTATTATATATGAGAAATGGTCCACAGACACTTGGGATGTAGAGCTCAAAACGCCTTTAACATCCAAATAAAAAACATATTTGTCAATCCCAGCACATGTACTGATCATATATATCAAAAAAATTTAATATAAGCCGTTTTGAAAAAAATTCATATTTCAACGACTATAATAATGACTTATTGATATATATATGATCAGTACATGTGCTGGGATTGACAAATATGCTTTTTATTTGGATTTTAAAGGCGTTTTGAGCTCCATACCCCAAGTGTCTGTGAAATGGTTTAGACAAAAATAAAGAATGAAAATTAACTATGGGCATTAACTGAAAAATTATAAAGTGGTAAGTACCGGTGCTTTTGCACTGCACTTCTTCTTAATGAGATCTATCATCCTATGAAGTTTCAAGTCAATAGCTTTATTTGTTTATGTTTTATTTATGAGAAATGGCCTGTAAAAAACTTAAGTATTATTGTTAACAAAGGGCAATAACTGAAAATAAAAGAGGTGCAGTGTACTGGTTCTTGTGCACTACAATTTTTCTTAATGAGATTTATCATCCTCTGAAGTTTCAAGTCCATAGCTTTTGTTATATATGAGAAATAGCCCGGACAAAAATTAAGTATTTAACAAATGAAAATTAACAAAGGGCAATAACTCAAAAAATAAAGAAGTGATGAGTACTGTTTCAGTGATGAGTACCGTTTCTTAACTCTAGCTCTTTGGGGTTTTTATAAGATTTTTTACACATATTAGGAAAATCAATGACCCGTAACCCCAGAGCCCTTATTTCAACAAACTTGGTAGACACCCATTACAATATTACAATATCTTAGCTCTAGCTCCTTGGGTTTATTAAAGAAGTTTTTACTATACACATGTAGGGAAAAACAATGAACCCCTGGGGCAGGCAAAATTTTGACCCCAGGGCTTTTATTTGAACCAACTTTGTAGACACTCACTAGAAGATGGTTCATTCTTAATACCCTAGCTCTACCTCTTCGTTTTTTTTAAAAGAAGATTTTATAAGTATAAGGAAAATTAATGACCCCCAGGGCGGGCCAATTTAAATCCAAGGCCTCTTATTTGAACAAACTTGGTAGACACCCATTAGAAGATGTTTCATGCTAAACATATAAGGTTTAGCTCTTTCGGTTTTTTTTATAGAAGATTTTTTAAGTTTTAACTATACACATATAGGGAAAATCAATGACCCCCTGGGGTGGGGCCAAATTTGATCCCAGGGCTTTTATTTGAACAAACTTGGTAGACACGCACTAGAAGATGAATCGTGCCAAATATCTAAGGTCTACCTCTTTGGGTTTTTCAGAAGAAGAAATTTAAATCTTTTGATTGCCATTGCAACCAGAGTTCTGCATGGAATTTAGTTCTTTGAAGAATTTTTAAAGGTGACCACCAAAGGAACATTCCTGTGAAGTTTGGACGAAATTGGCTCAGTGATTTATGAGATGTCGTGACAGGTGAGCTAAAAAGTAAAGAAGTTATGATATTTCTTAAAAGAAATTCTAAGTTCAAAGGGAGATAAATCTGAAAATATTGCTTTAAGAGTTATGAACCTTGTCACATAAGATTTGGTTGATGATAAGGAATATGTATTTGAAGTTTGAGGTAGATATCTATAAAACTAAAGAAGTTATGGTAAAAAATAACATTTTTCAAGAAAAAAAACTAAGTTAATGGGGAGATAATTCTTGCAATATTGGTGCTAGAGTTATGAACCTTGTCACATAAGCTGTGGTTGATGATAAGGAACATGCATTTGAAGTATGAAGTTGATCACTTATGAAATAAAGAAGTAACAGTCAAAAATATTTTACTGATAAGGAACATATATTTGAAGTTTGAAGTTGATACCTGAAGAAACTAGAAATATGTCCATAGGACACGGGTGCCCGCACACTCCACCGATTTGTCAATCTTATGTCTCTAGGTCAAATTTTTTTTTGGGCTACATGTGCCCAAGTTGAAAACTAAAAATCTTTTATTAAGTAAAGGGCAAATACTACAAATACTGAATAAATCCACAAAAAAACCCAAGGTACACATGCTGACCAACATTCTTGTAAACTTTCAGGCCTACAGGTCAAATAAATTTTGATTTACGTGCAACACAAATTGAATAGTGTAAATTGTTACTAAGTCAAGGGCAATAACAATAAAATTACTAAAAATATCCACACAAAAATACCCAGGTGCACAACTACACATGCTGATCAACATTCTTGTAAGGTTTCATGACTCTAGGTCAAATACTTTTTAGCAATGTGCGACACAAGTTGAAAATTGGAAATTTTTACTAAGTCAAGGGCAATAACTCTAAAAATACTAAATATATCCACACAAAAATACCCAGGTGAACAACTACACATGCTAATAAACATTCCAGTAAGGTTTCATGCCTATAGGTAAAATATTATTTGAGTTACTTGCGACACAAGTAACTGTTGAAACTTGCAAAGTTTTACTAAGTCAAGGGCAATAACTCTAAAGATACTAAATAATATATTCACATTAAAATACCCAGGTGCACAACTTCACATGCTGATCAACATTCCTGTAAGGTTTCATGTCTCTAGATCAATTACTTTTTGAGTTACGTGTGACACAAAAAGAGAATGGACGGATGGATGGACGTTCTAACAGGAGAGTAATAATGTGGCTACTTTATTGTTCTCTCTATTGTTCTTTTTAGCCACACAAAAGAAAATAGCCACATAAAAGCATAACAGAATGAATGACATCAAAGAGAAAGAACAGTTACCTATTGTTTCTCTAGCCACATAATTACTGTCCTGTGAGTGCGGATAGACGGACAAGGGTAAATCTAAATGCCCCCACCCACCTATAGTGGGGGCACAATAAAAAGTTACAGTCCAAAATATTTTACTGCACCAAAACTTTAATCTGAAATCTTGACACAGACGCCGGGGTGAGTAGGACAGCTCTCTATATACTTCATATAGTCGAGCTAAAAAGGAATTCTAAAATGCAGGGAGTTACACTTTATGTCACAGGTTTACTCAAAAATAGCAAAATATACCTTAAAAGTTCTCAGCATCACTTCATCTCCACTTCACATGCTTCTAGGTACTGCAAACAAAAAGAATATATTTTAAAGTTATTCAACTTAACCGACTCACAGACAGCTATGCCTTTTTTGTACATTATCTCCCGACGTATAGATACGCCTTTCTTGTACCTTACCAACTTAATACCTAGAGTGGTTTCAGATATACTGAATAAATTAGTTTAGATGTTTATTTAATCAAATTCTGTCAGAGACCAAGCTCCACTTTTCACAAGTTCTAGATAGTTAGAAGCAACACAGGAGTTCTAAGCAGGCCTAATTCTAGAAAAGTGCTTGGCAGACTAACCTTTCCTTGATAGTCAAGAAATATTTAATGTTTGTCAGATTAACTTTTGATAGTTTTTGAGAAAAAAAGACAAATATTCTGTCACCATTTTAGGGAACAAAAATGGCTTTCATGTTTTGTTGCCCCTTATTATAAATTAAACAACTGTCAATGTCATCTAAAGATCAAGGTCATATCTAAATCATTGAACATGTATGTTTGGTAACATGTGTTGTTTTGTCCAAATGCAAACAAATTAAAATTTAAAGTTTTAAAGAAATGTTAAAACAGAAATTTTAGAAAAAAGTAAAAAACTAGAAATGTGTCATCATGCCACGGATGCCCCCGCATGCAGCCAAAATTTCAGATGGTGCATTAATTATTTTTTTCATTTTAAGTTCAAAGCCCTTAAAACTTTTCAATGTTAACACAAACCATTTCCATACAATGTTCAAGGCACTGAAATTATTCAGTCTTAACCTTTTAGAAATAGCATATTGCATATTTGCAGCCAAAATAATGGCTAAAAGAATGAGTGGTGAAACTGAAAGTTCAAAATTTTTCCAACATTCAGGAAAGATAAGTTTGTCTAAAATCATTGAACCATGACCAAATTCCAACTTAAACTGCTTATTCCTAAGATGTATCTATATTATTTTCAAAGTGAAAGAGACAAACTCTGCCAAAAAATCATCAAACCATGACCAAATTCCAACTTGACCTGCCCATTCCTTTGACATATCCATATGTCAAATTAAAGTTGAATATGTGACACTGTTGGGTAGATAATGAACAGAAACTGTAAATTTCATATTATTTTCAAAGTGAAAGGGGCATTACTCTGCCAAAAATCATTGAACCATGACCAAATTTGAAGTTGACCTGAGCATTCCAAAAACATTTCCATATGTCAAATTTGAGTTGAATGTGTTGTACCATTGGGAAGATAATAAACGGAAACTGAAAATTTCATATTACTTTCAAAGTGAAAGGGGCATAACTCTGCCAAAAATCATTGAACCATGACCAAATTTGAACTTGACCTGCGCATTCCTTTGACGCATCCATATGTCACGTTTGAGTTGAATGTGTTGTACCTTGAGGGAGATAATGAATGGGAAACTGAAAATTTCATATTATTTTCAAAGTAAAAGGGGCATAACTCTGCCAAAAATCATCGAACCATGACCAAATTCGAACTTGACCTGTATTTTTTCATGACATATCAATATGTCAAGTTTGAGTTGATTGTGTTGTACCATTGGGGAGATAATGAACGGAAACTGAAAATTTCATATTTTTTTCAAAGTAAAAGGGGCATAACTCTGCCAAAAATCATTGAACCATAACCAAATTCGAACTTGACCTGTATTTTCTCATGACATATCCATATGTCAAGTTTGAATTGAATGTGTCCAACCGTTCTTAAGATAATGAACGGAAACTGAAATTTCATATTATTTTTAAAGTAAAAGGGGCATAACTCTGCCAAAAATCATCGAACCATGACCAAATTCGAACTTGACCTGTATTTTCTCATGACATATCCATATGTCAAATTTGAGTTGAATATGCCCAACCGTTCTTAAGATAATGAACGGAAACTGATGATGACGGAATGACAGAATGACAGAATGACGGAAGGACGGAAGGACGGAAGGATGGAAGGACGGAAGGACGGAAGGACGGAATGACGGAACAGGGTAACACTATATGCCCCGGCCATTACATGGCGGGGGCATAAAAAAGCCAAAGTATGCCAATAGTTCAAAATCTAGGAAATCTGATATTTGACAAAAACTGAAATTCAATAATATATCTGAAACTGTGCACACTGACAGGGTCCAAATCTCTTAGCTGTAGTCATCAAAGGACAAGAAGATAGATGACTAGGTCAAAATATAGGTCAGCTGATAACAAAGTTCAATTTTACATCTTAAACTGTGCACATGGTCCAAATTTCATAGCTGTACATTAAAGGACAAGAAAGTAGGCAACTATGTAAAAAAAAGGATGGCTGATATTTTACATCTAAAACTGTGCTTGTGGTCCAAATTTCATAGCTGTACATCAAAGGCCAAGAAATTGATCTAGGCCAGCTGATATTGAAGTTCAATTTTACATCTTAAACTGTGCACTTATGATTGAAGGTCAAGGTTAGTCTGGTATACTTGAAGGTCTTGTCCCAAGGGTTGTTGTGGCCAGGTATTAAGACATTTAATTAATGCACCAAGAACTTAAAAATTTATGATCAAGTAAATTTGCGAACGACAATGGCAACCCGACATGACTGTTACTATATACCTCTACTTATCTTTTTTTTTTTAAAAGTCGAGCTAAAAATGAAGATTAAAAGGAAAAGTATAATTAATTTTTAATGGACTGTTCTAATTTCAAAACAATAATGTACATGTATTCCAATAATTCAGAAAGGTTACATTATTGTTTACCAAAATAAAATTTAAAGACTTGGATAGTTTTATATAAACTTAAAAGGAAAAAAACACTTACTTATTGATTTCCATTTCTCTATGAAATCACTTCTGGATATCTTGTCTTTATAAGCCCAGCTAGTAAAGTCAAGTTCAAGACAAATATTGTAGCTTCACCTGCAAAAATATAAAATTACTCATTCATGAAAAAAAAAAACATGACCATAATTTAAGTACTGTGCTGCTATGAGAATGTGAGAATGACGTTGCATTTTTTTGTGTACACAAAAGTTTACAATCTTTGTCTGAAGGGGTATAACAGGTTCTGTAGAAGAAAATATAGTACAAGATAAACAAGAACTGTGGGAGGACAGTATTGGCTCGACTATTCAAAAAGTTGTCACAAGGGTGTTTTATTAAGTATAATAATGCTAATTACCTATGAATACATAAAATTGACGTTGAAAATGGGGAGAAAAATCAGCCTAAATGCAAGATAGAATTATGGATCTTGGTCAGTGACCTACAATTATGATTCTAAATGCATATATGTGAAGTTTTAAATAAATATCTTTAGATATGTAAAACTTGCATGCAAACATTAACCAAGTGACTAAGTAGAAAAGGGAAGATGAATCAGCCTAAATGCGAGTAGAGTTATGGAACTTGGTCAGTGACAAACAATTATGACTCTCCAATTATGACCCTAAGTACATGTGTAAAGTTTCAAGTAAATATCTTTGAAGACCTTTAACCTTTAACCAAAATTTCTAAGTTTCAAAGGGGCAAATAATTCTGTAAATATTGCAGGCAGAGTTATGCAATTTTGCACACTGATGTACATGGTTACTATAAAAAAAGGATTGTAAATTTCAAATGAATATCTCAAGCAATAAATTTACAAAAAAACTTTAGCCAAAATTTCTAAGTTATAAAGGGGCATAATTCTGTAAATATTATAGACAGAGTTATCTAACTTGTCAATCTGATGTACATTGTTACTATAAATAAGTATTGTAAGTTTCAAATGAATATCTCAAGCAATAATTGAGATATTTGACTTTACAAAAAACTTTAACCAAAATTTCTTAGTTAAAAAGGGTCAGAATTCTGTAAATATTGTAGACAGAGTAATCCAACTTGTCCATCTGATGTACATTGTTACTATAAATAAGTAGTGTAAGTTTCAATTGAATATCTCAAGCAATAATTGAGATATTTGACTTAACAAAAAACTTTAACCAAAATTTCTAAGTTAAAAAGGGGCATAATTTTGTAAATATTGTAGGCAGAGTTATCCAACTTGTCAATCTGATGTACATTGTTACTATAAATAAGTATTGTAAGTTTCAACTGAATATCTAAAGCAATAATTGAAATATTTAAATTTACAAAAAACTTTAACCAACATAGACGCGGACGCCGGGGCGACTACAATAGCTCTCATATTCTTCGAATAGTCAAGCTAAAAATAGAATTTTAAATGTCTTAATGGCAAATTTTGTAAAATCATTAGGATGCAATTAAACCGACATCTTTAGGAGTTCGAGTATCACAAGTTGTCTAACTTAGAATTGGAAAATAAAAGTAATTTGTAATAGTATCTAATAATTTAAATATACCGGAAAATTATTTTTATCCTGTGTAGTATGCAGTGAGTCAAAGTACTTGTGCAGTGCACAAGTATTTTGTGCCAGGTGAAACAATTTGTGTACATTTATTCATTCCGTTTAGTATTCAGTATAATTTTTAGGTTGTTCCAACTTGCCAGATATTACTTTGAAAATTAAGTGAAATGAGAAGTTTATAGAAATTAACACAACACAAATCATTAAAGGAACTCCACTGAGGTTTATAAGCGTAAAACATGAAATTTTAATTTTTTCACAGTCATATACATGAGCACTTAAAACATCAATATTTATAAAATATAACCAAAATTTTTAAAGAAATACATTAAAAATCATATGTTTGTGCTATTCTCAGTCCGATTTATGTGTAAAGCGTTTAAACGCTTTTCAATTTTGGGTCATTTTTCACTATTATAATAATTATTCTGGAAAAATGGAGCAAGCTAAGAATCTGAAATTTTGCACATGTAAGTAATTAGTATAGATCTGCATCAAATGGAGTAATAATCTCAAAAAAATATTTCCAGTTCTAAATATTTCTTTAGGTGAAGAAAAAAATAACATGTTTATTTACAGAAACTATTTTTCGCGAGAGAAAAAAAAAAAAAAAAAAAAAAAAAAAGGGTACAATTCGGACCAGTCTTGCATTGATATTTAACTAGAACATTAACTGGCAACCTTACCTAGTACGTTATGCTGACAGGTGATTAATTTGTCAATATTTTAATTTATATCGCCTTAAGATGGAAAATCACAATTTGATAACTGTTTTACTGTTAAAGTTGACTTGCCTGCTGCGTAACTAAATACTTATCCTAAACACAAGTGTCTTTAAAAAGATACTTGAACTATGTCAAAAAGCTTTTACCTGAACAGGTTATTTTGAATTTTATTGTAGCAGTTAATTTGTAGATATAGGGAACACTGCGAATGGAACTGTAACTGCATGTTGTGTTCCAGTAAGTATTATACCTACTGTAGAAGATGCAGATAATATACTGTGTGTACCAGAAAAATTTGAAAATTTACAATTTTTATTTGGTGTCTAATTTGGTATGCACATGACTGTGTTACCGGGATCATTATATACATGTGTAACATTATTGTTGTAAATCTCATCGCTTTGGAAAAAACTTATTGAATGTATATTCCGTACAGACTGCAGAATAGTCAGAATGAATGAAAAAATGTGGTAGTTATTATAACAGGGTGGGCATTTAATTATTAAAGAAATAGTGTTCCACCAGAATACCTTAGTTAAGTACAGGACATTATTATTGTTATGCCTTAAAATTACATTTAAAGTGATATTATGCTAATCCTTATAAATGTTAATGTTGAGTGCTGTAACGTGGAAAAAGTCGTAATAACTTTACATTTTGTCACAATGTTTTCAATAGCCCATTTCACTACGATTTCTCACGTAAATTAGCGAAGTGCTACGATCAGATTCCGAGTATATAATCAACTGACCAATCAAATGCTGGTGGATGCATGTACAATCTATTACTAATAATAGTAACATAAAAATAAACAAAGGAAATTTACATGGCGGATTCTTATCACAAAGTTGAAATATTTCGAGAAATATGCCGTTATACTGCATAGTTAACTCATTGACCCCTCACGCCACGATAATGCGTCAGTTTAAACTTCTCGCCTATACCTAACGCCACGATAACGAGTCGATATCGACTTTACACCTGTCCTGCATGCCACATATATGCATGTACAATCTATTACTAATAATAGTAACATAAAAATAAACAAAGGAAATTTACATGGCGGATTCTTATCGCAAAGTTGAAATATTTCGAGAAATATGCCGTTATACTGCATAGTTAACTCATTGACCCCTCACGCCACGATAATGCGTCAGTTTAAACTTCTCGCCTATACCTAACGCCACGATAACGAGTCGATATCGACTTTACACCTGTCCTGCATGCCACATATATGCGGCTAGATAAGACTTGCTTTACTTCCCGGTCGCCACGTTGTAGCGTCGTAAATCATCGGTTGTTTTCAAGGTATTTCCCGAGAATATTTAAATATTAGCCAATCAGAAATCGGGTTACATTTTGAATAGAAAAACCGTAATTTGAGACCGATGCGGAGGATAATCCATTGGATTCTGATAATGAAATGTTTAAATTTGACATCAGAAAGTAGTTTAAAAAATGAAAGTAGGGATTTTGACTGAAGGGGATTATGTCCGTACACCAAAATGAAAGTGTTTGTGGGAGTTTACCAGAAGAATAAGCATTTTTTAATTCAATAAACACTCGCTCGTCAGCCGCTGAATCACACGCCATTATCGTAAATATAAACAATACATGTACACTCGAGAACCAGTATTTCATTGGTCAAACATATTAGCACTTAACCTCCCACGTGATGCGTGTCTACGAATGTTTCCGATAAATTACGAAAGGCTGGTGAAATGGGCTATTGATCATTTTGATATAATCATAATCATTAATGAGGTTGACACTAAATATGTTAGTATTCATCCGTAGCTGTTCTACAGAAATTAGAAACATTCTACGGTCGCTATTGCTCCCGTCAAACTCGAAGTTTCTAATTTCTGTAGAACAGCACGGATGTCACATAAAAGTTGGGCAGTCTTTTTTATATTAAGCAATTTTAATTTCACCCTTATCATTTTGTTTGTCATTATAAATTATTGGTCAATCCATGTTTCATTAATTGATCATTTAGAGATTGTAACATTGAATATCGCTAATTCAGCTCAACTTCGACATTAAAAAATGAGCATACTGTCACAGGTCTAAATGTGTTTCCTAGAAAAGTTGGGATTATGTTTGATCTGCAAATTAAGTCATTGAATAAAATGAGTGATTTAGAGTATAATCAATCAATAGTATCTTGACCAGTTGCCCTTATCTGGAACTGATTATAAAGTTTTCCTGACTGACCACCCACTGTTATAAAATCATATCACAACAAATCCTTTAAATACAATGCAGCTTGTTAACTCAAGCAGGGATTTTTTTGGCTTATTTTATAGCCGTTATTGGGTCATATTCCCAATTGAAAATAGTATATTATTTTCCCAATCCACATAAAAAATTCCCAATTGAAAGTTACAAAATTAAAGTATTGAATCTTTGCAAATAAGGGCTTCGATCTTCACTGTAATAGTGCTTAAATAATTGAAGATGCCACCATAGACAGAAATTGTTTGCATCCATTTATTTTAATCACTTTAAAATTTCAGTCATGCTTTTTTTCACCATGTGTCGTGTTCCTAAAATCCTGGAAAAAATCCCTGTAACTTTTGTCTCTTTTGTGTGCATTCCATTAATGATCAATAAATTCACTCCTGCTGCATGCACAGTCTAAATAATCCGTATGATTATAATCATTAAAGTATACTTTTTAATACAAATTAGTGTTTGAAATTATTTTCTTTAAAGATTAATTTTCATTATATTTCATCTTTGCCAAATTCCTTAAAGTTTTTATTTAAAGCTAAACCTTTTCTATATAAAACTTTTTTTTTCACACTGATTTGAGGCTAAAATAGGCATGAACGAAGCCAAAAAAATGAGAATTTTATAGAAAGATAGACTTTTCAGTAGTTTCAGACTTTTCAGTAATTGCAATTAAATGTTAATTTCCCGTGATATTATGTAATGAAGAGACAGTTACATACCAGCCACTTACCTTCAAAAAATGAAGATCTTCTTCAGGGCGGACACAGACCTGTAGGGCCTACTAGCGCCGATTTCCTCATCGTTATTGTACAAAGTATCCGAATCAATATCTTCTTTCAAACGCCACATCATCTTCACGTTTTAATTTTAAAATTTTTAAAATAAAATATGACCTATACATACTGTTATTGTGTGCGTATCACATCCGAGGCGACATTAGCAGACGATGACCCAGATTACTGGACGATTCAATGTTTACGTTTTTATTGGGGTGTTAGCTCTACAACTTTTAAATCATTGTACAGTTTGATTACAATTTTAGGAACATCTAGTGTATTTTTATGAATGAATACATTTGAAGTTTTTATTTTAGTACTTAAATGTTCAATTATGATATAAATGGCGGGAATTTACTGATGAGTTTGCCGTGTATGGTGACTACCCCTAAATTATCGTGTCGATTCGTCCGTCGCCGCATAAACGCTTTGAACTTTTAGCGGGTGCCAAGTAATTAGTGCCTGCATGAGATGAAAGCGGTTTGGAGACCCAATCATACAGCAGTTAATTTTCAACAAATTTTCAAAATATCTGCTTGTTTTATATACTAGTAGACATTTAGTGAAGTTAATTCTCGTGCATGATGTCCTTTATGCAGTAGATCTATGTGGCGGGCAGTTTGTTGGTAAGTGTTTCTTTTCGGTCCTACTAAACACTGCTAAGGACTGCTAAGGACCGCTAAGGACTGCTAAGGAGCCACAAAGGACTACTAAAGAGGCACAAAGGACCTTAAAATACCTCCTAGGCCATTCTTATATTACATGGTATTATTTTTAGTGAAAAAAAATTATAATTTAAAAAAAAAAAATGATTTTGGTGAAAATTTTATGAGTTGTCGGACCGCTAAGGACTGCTCAGATACACAAAAGACAGCTAGGGAGACACAAAGGACCTTAAAATACCTCCTAGGGCATTCTTATAATACAAGGTAGTATGTTTAGTGACAAAAAATGTATTATTTTAAGAAAAAATATCATTTTAGTGATAAAATTCATGTTTTTGAAGAATTGCCGGACCGCTAAGGAATGCTACGGTGCACTAACAACTACTAGGGAGGCACAAAGGACCTTCAAATCCCTCCTAGAACATTCTTATAATATATAGTAGTAAGTTAATAGACAAAAATGTATTATTGTAAGAAAAAAATATGATTTTGGTGATAGAATTTATGCTTTCAATGAGTTGCCGGACCGCTAAGGACTGCTCAGGTGGAAAAGGACTGCTAGGGACCTTAAAATATTTCCTAAGGAGGCACAAAGGACCTTAAAATACCTGTAATGGCATTCTTATAATACATGGTAGTATGTTTAGTGATAAAAAATGTATAATTTAAAGGAAAAATATCATTATAGTGATAAAATTCATGTTTTTGAAGAGTTGTCGGACCGCTTAAAGGAATGCTACGGTGCACTAACAACTGCTAGGGAGGCACAAAGGACCTTCAAATCCCTCCTAGAACATTCTTATAATATATGGTAGTAAGTTAATAGACAAAAATGTATTATTGTAAGAAAAAAATATAATTTTAGTGATAGAATTTATGTTTTTGATGAGTTGCAGGACCGCTTAGAACTGCTAGGGAAGTACAAAGAATCTTAAAATACCTCCTAGGGGAACAAAGGACTGCTAGGGAGGCACAAAGGACATTTAAATACCTCCTAGGGCATTCTTATAATATATGGTGGTATGTTTAGTGAGAAAAAATGTATAATTTGTAATTTTGGTGATAGAATTTATGCTTTCAATGAGTTGTCGGACCGCTAAGGACTGCTCAGGTGCACTAACAACTGCTAGGTAGGCACAAAGGACCTTAAATTACTTCTTAGGGCATTTTTAGATTATATTGTAGTAAGTTAATAGATAAAAAAATGTATTATTTTAAGGAAAAATATAATTTTGGTGATAGAATTTATGTTTTCGATGAATTGCAGGACCGCTAAGGACTGCTAGGGAGGTACAAAGAATCTTAAAATACCTCCTAGGGGCACAAAGGACTGCTAGGGAGACACAAAGGACATTTAAATATCTCCTAGGGCATTCTTATAATATATGGTAGTATGTTTAGTGAGAAAAAATGTATAATGTTAAGAAAAAATATAATTGTGGTGATAGAATTTATGTTTTCAATGAGTTGCTGGACCGCTAAGGACTGCTCAGGTACACAAAGAACTGCTAGGGAGGCACAAAGGACCTTAAATTACTTCCTAGGGCATTCTTATAATATATGGTAGTATGTTTAGTGAGAAAAAATGTATAATTTTAAGAAAAAATATAATTTTGGTGATAGAATTAATGTTTTCGATGAGTTGCCAGACCGCTAAGGACTGCTCAGGTACACAAAAGACTATAAGCGAGGCCCAAAGGACCTTAAATTACTTCCTAGGGCATTCTTATAATATATGGTAGTATATTTAGTGAGAAAAAATGTATAATTTTAAGAAAAAATATAATTTTGGTGATAGATTTTATGTTTTCGATGAGTTGCTGGACCGCTAAGGACTGCTAAGGTGCGCAAAGAACTGCTAGGGAGGCACAAAGGATCTTAAATTACTTCCTAGGGCATTCTTATAATAATATGGTAGTATGTTTAGTGAGAAAAAATGTATAATTTTAAGAAAAAATATAATTTTGGTGATAGATTTTATGTTTTCGATGAGTTTCCAGACCGCTAAGGACTGCTAAGGTGCGCAAAGAACTGCTAGGGAGGCACAAAGGACCTTAAATCACTTCCTAGGGCATTCTTATAATATATGGTAGTATATTTAGTGAGAAAGAATGTATAATTTTTAAGAAAAAATATAATTGTGGTGATAGAATTTATGTTTTCGATGAGTTGCCGGACTGCTAAGGAGAGCTCAGGTGCGCAAAGAACTGCTAGGGAGGCACAAAGGACCTTAAATTACTTCCTAGGGCATTCTTATAATATATGGTAGTATATTTAGTGAAAAAAATGTATAATTTTAAGAAAAAATATAATTTTCGTGATAGAATTTATGTTTTCGATGAGTTGCCAGACCGCTAAGGACTGCTCAGGTGCGAAAAGGACTGCTAGGGAGGCACAAAGGACCTTAAAATACCTCCTAGGGCATTCTTATAATACATGGTAGTATGTTTAGTGAAATTTTTTTATAATTTAAAGAAAAAACATTATTTTGGTGAAAATTTTATGAGTTGCCGGACCGCTAAGGACTGCTCAGATATACAAAAGACTGCTAGGGAGGCACAAAGGATCTTAAAATACCTCCTAGGGCATTCTTATAATACAAGGTAGTATGTTTAGTAACAAGAATGTATTATTTTAAGAAAAAATATCATTTTAGTGGTAAAATTTATGTTTTTGAAGAATTGCCGGACGGCTAAGGACTGCTCAGGTGCACTAACAACTGCTAGGGAGGCACAAAGGACCTTCAAATCCCTCCTAGAACATTCTTATAATATATGGTAGTAAGTTAATAGACAAAAATGTATTATTGTAAGAAAAAATATAATTTTTGTGATAGAATTTATGCTTTCGATAAGTTGCAGGGCCGCTAAGGACTGCTCAGGTGCGCAAAGGACTGCTAGGGAGGCACAAAAGACCTTAAAATATTTCCTAGGGAGGCACAAAGGACCTTAAAATACCTGTTAGGGCATTCTTATAATACATGGTAGTATGTTTAGTGACAAAAAATGTATAATTTTAAGAAAAAATATAATTTTGGTGATAGAATTTATGCTTTTGATGAGTTGCCGGACTGCTAAGGACTGCTCAGGTGCACTAACAACTGCTAGGGAGGCACAAAGGACCTTAAAATCCCTCCTAGGGCATTCTTATAATATCTGGTAGTAAGTTAATAGAAAAAAAAGTATTATTGTAAGAAAAAATATTATTTAAGTGATAGAATTTATGTTTTCAATGAGTTGCAGGTTGTCAATCTTAAAACAAGATTATACATACACCAAATCATTCTTAAATCAAATAGGCAAACACATTTCCTAAAAAAACATCAAAAATTCTATGACTTTCTAATTATTTTTTGTTAGAAAACCCAGAAATTTCATGCCACAGGGAGGCATTTGTTACATTTTTGGGGGGAATGTTACACTAGATGTTCAAATCTCATAGTTCCTGGGGTTTTGGTTTTAATATAATGATAATAGCTTTATATGCTTTAAATAGTACATAATGTACAATTAATGTAAACAAATAGAACAAATTTCAGGAAAAAATATTTAGAATTAAGCTCCTTGATCAAGGAGTTTCTTTCTTTTTGTATTTCAAAATGAAAAGTTGCATAGACATTTAAATGAACTGTTCTGAATTAAATATGAACATTGATAATGAAAGGAAGATTCTTTATTTTCAGATAATGTATTTCCATTGTGTTAAAGAAAATTATCATACAGACAGTAACTTTCTATATATATTTACAAAATAATATATAGTGATATAATCAGATTTATCTTTTTAATAGATAATTATTATACAGACTGAAGTAAATTATAAGTTTTCATAAGCTTGAATTTCTAATTACTAAATACCAACAAATAAAATTTTCATTTAAAAAATTACAGATCTGCTTTTAAATTGTTGTAATTAATTACTACCAATTCATGAAATTTTAAGTTTATTTATGTGAAATGTCAGTAACATTATTATCTGAAGATGTTATTATGATTCAGTGTTATAAGTTCATTATTTCTCAGTATTGATAGTTCTCTATGTTAATGTTTCAGTATAAATGGACTGGTGATCATTCATTAAAATTTACAGATTCAAAATATATTTTAGGACTTTGTTTACAAACAAATTTTGATTATTATCACTTTTTCATTACTGAAGTCAAAACCATATATTAAAATCATTTTTCTTATGATCTTCTTCCATTTCTTATAATAATTAAATTGGTCAAGTGATATGACAATGTGCTGGAATATGGAGACAAATACTTTATTCAGGGTGGTGAAATATATTTATTTTTTGGGTTGTTTTTTTCATTGACTATATATTTGGCCAATACAAAAATGATGTTCAATAGATCCTTAGACTTAATTGATCTACAGCTTACTTAATAATAGGCATACTCTAACAGAAAGTCCCTCCCACTGTTTTGAAGTATATCACCCTATATTGGCACCCCCACTGGTTTGTAATATATCACACATCCCAG